CAGAAATTAAGACAGACAACAGATACAAGGCCCCAGCATTTACAATGCCACAATTTAATGTACCTCACGTGAAAACACCAGAAGCAGACATGGATGTTTCTGGAGATGTAAATATTCCTTCTCTCAGTGGAAATCTAAAGAGACCAGATTTGGACCTGAATGGTCCAAAAGTAGATCTCAATGGTCCTGATGTAAACTTTAAAACCCCAAATGCTGATATTGAGGGACCCTCAGGCAAATTCAGGTGGCCTCATCAAAAATGGAAAGGTCCCAAAATCAATGGACCAGATGCTGACTTAAATGCTGATTTGTCTGCACCTGATGTCAGCCTTTCCACACCAGGGATTAATGGGGGCCTCAACGCACCAGATGTTGACATTAAATTGCCCAAAGGTAACATCAAAGGCCCTGATGTAGAAGCTAAAACCCCGAACCTTGATATTGATTCTCCATCTGGCAATATCAGGTGGCCTCATCAAAAATGGAAAGGTCCCAAAATCAAAGGACCAGATGCTGACTTAAATGCTGATTTGTCTGCACCTGATGTCAGCCTTTCCACACCAGGGATTAATGGGGGCCTCAACGCACCAGGTGTTGACTTTAAATTGCCCAAAGGTAACATCAAAGGCCCTGATGTAGAAGCTAAAACCCCGAACCTTGATATTGATTCTCCATCTGGCAATATCAGGTGGCCTCATCAAAAATGGAAAGGTCCCAAAATCAAAGGACCAGATGCTGACTTAAATGCTGATTTGTCTGCACCTGATGTCAGCCTTTCCACACCAGGGATTAATGGGGGCCTCAACGCACCAGGTGTTGACTTTAAATTGCCCAAAGGTAACATCAAAGGCCCTGATGTAGAAGCTAAAACCCCGAACCTTGATATTGATTCTCCATCTGGCAATATCAGGTGGCCTCATCAAAAATGGAAAGGTCCCAAAATCAAAGGACCAGATGCTGACTTAAATGCTGATTTGTCTGCACCTGATGTCAGCCTTTCCACACCAGGGATTAATGGGGGCCTCAACGCACCAGGTGTTGACTTTAAATTGCCCAAAGGTAACATCAAAGGCCCTGATGTAGAAGCTAAAACCCCGAACCTTGATATTGATTCTCCATCTGGCAATATCAGGTGGCCTCATCAAAAATGGAAAGGTCCCAAAATCAAAGGACCAGATGCTGACTTAAATGCTGATTTGTCTGCACCTGATGTCAGCCTTTCCACACCAGGGATTAATGGGGGCCTCAACGCACCAGGTGTTGACTTTAAATTGCCCAAAGGTAACATCAAAGGCCCTGATGTAGAAGCTAAAACCCCGAATCTTGACATTGATTCTCCATCAGGGAAAGTTAGCTGGCCTCATATGAATTGGAAAAAACCCAAACTTAATGGCCCCAAAGCTGATATGGACCTTAACGCAGATCTGAACACACCAGATTTTGATGTCTCTGCTCATAAAATTGATGCCAAGATTAACACACCGGATGTTAATGTGAATGTACCCAAGGCCAGTGCTGACATTAAAGCTCCAGATGCTAACATGGAGGCCCCCTCTGGCAAATTCAAGTTCCCAACACTCAAAATGGGCAAATTTAACCCTTCTGGACCAAAGATAAAAACCCCAGATGCCAGTCTAGATGCTGATGTTTCAGGTCCTAATTTAAACCTTTCAGCTCCTAAGATTGACGGTGAGATTAACACACCAAATGTTAATGTGAATGTACCCAAAGTCAATGCTGACATTAAAACTCCAGATGCTAACATGGAGGCCCCCTCTGGCAAATTCAAGTTCCCAACACTCAAAATGGGCAAATTTAACCCTTCTGGACCAAAGATAAAAACCCCAGATGCCAGTCTAGATGCTGATGTTTCAGGCCCTAATTTAAACCTTTCAGCTCCTAAGATTGACGGTGAGATAAACGCACCAAATGTAAATGTCAACTTGCCAAAAGCTGACCTGGAAAGCCCAAAGTTAGACATTAATGCCCCAGATGTTGAAAGTCCATCTGGAAGGTTCAAATTGTTCAATGTGAAGAAACCCAAAGTTGGCACACTAAAGAGTCCACAGGCTGGCATTGATGCTAGTGTGAAGGCACCAGATGTGGACCTCAAGGGGCCTAATGTAAATCTGAGTACACCAGATGTTAACCTTTCTGCACCAAAAATTAAAGGTGGGATTGATGCTCCAGACTTCAATATCAACACACCCAATGCTGATATCAGAGGTGCAGGTGTGGATCTTAATGGTCCTGACCTTGACCCACCTGATGGAAAACTGAAGTTACCTAAACTGAAACTACCAAAATTCAAAGGGCCAAAGGTCAGAGGTCCTGAACTGGATGCTGATGTAAAAGCACCAAATGTTGATGCTAGTCTTGACTTACCTAAAGTTGATGTGAATGCACCTAATGCAAACATAAAAGCCCCAGATCTCTCCTTATCTGCACCAAAAGTTAGAGGCGGTCTTGATGCACCAGATCTTGATGTTCATTTACCACAAGCTGATCTCAAAGGCCCTGATGTAGACCTTCAAGCTCCAGATGTTGATGCCTCAGCTGGAAAACTCAAGCTACCCAAAGTAAAATTCCCCAAGTTTAGCTCATCAGTGCCAAGCGCAAAAGTACCTAACCTCAATGCTGATGCTGACCTCAAGAGTCCAGATCTTGATCTGTCTCTTCCCAGTGTAGATGCAAAGCTTCCAAAAGCAGATCTAACAGCACCCGGTGCTAATCTAAAAGCACCAGACTTGAAACTTTCAGCACCCAAAGGTGACGGTAAAATTTCTGCTCCAGATGTGAACCTGAGCCTCCCTAAAGGAGATGTGAAAGGGCCAGACATAAACCTTAACACACCAGATGGTGACATTGATGTTCCTTCTGGAAAATTAAAGGTACCTACATTTAAAATGCCACACTTTAACATCAGAGGACCAAAGGCTGAACTACCTGATGCAGGAATAAAGACTCCAGATGTAGATCTTAACTTGCCAGCAGCTGATGTCAAAGCACCTAAATTTAATCTTTCTGCCCCCACAGTTAAAGGAGATCTCAGTTCTCCAGATTTAGATCTTGATGCTGATCTTAAAGCCCCCAAAACCAGCATCAGTCTGCCAAACTTCAATCGTTCTACCCCAGATGTGAACCTTAATTTGCCCAAAGCTGGTGTAAAGGTACCAAGTGTGGATCCACCTGATTTCACCTTGAAAGCTCCAGATCTCAGCCTTTCTTCACCAAAAATTGATGGAAACCTCTCGGCACCAAACATTGACACCAAATTGCCAAAAGCTGAACTCAAAGCACCTGATGTCAGACTGAAGGCTCCAAATGCGGATGTTACCATGCCCAAAGCAGACCTCAAAGGACCTGACGCCCAGTTAAAAACACCAGATCTAGATTTTAATTCTCATGTGGGCGACTTTAGTTTTTCGCATTTCAAGCATCCGAAATTTGGCTTTTCAAAGCCTGAAGTAGAAGTTCCTGGTGTCCATTCTTCAGTTAAGGCTGAGGCACCCAAAGTCAACATTGGCACTCCTACAGCAGATAACAAAATCTCTGTTCCTAAGACCGGTGTGAATCTTGATGCTTCACCTAATGTGAAGGCCAAAACCCCCAGTGTTGAAGGAGGAATTAAATCTGAGGGTGAGGATCCTGTGTTCAGATTTCACAGAATACCCCAAAATGTCACCGATACTGCTGGAGAAATAGGCTTTTCAAAACCTGACACAGAGGAAAAGAATTATATTGTCAGCAAAGGGATTCGCTTGCCAATAGTAAACTCAACAATGAAAGCAGGAGAAAAGATTGACATTATGGAGAGACTGAGAATGTCCAAGAAAAAAGCCCTCTCAGCTAATGTCTCACCAACTGAAGCGAAAAGTCATAATGATCTGAAGTTTTCTGTCCCGGGTCTTGATGTCAGTTCCTCTGCAGGAGCAGGAGATTCCTCTTTGGTGAGAGGAGGAACCTTTAAAGTAGATAAGCCAGAGTCTGGACTGGGCCTGCTAGCCCCAACAATTTCAACATCCAATGAAAATGACGAGCTGTCACTGGGCCTCTCCAAAATGCTAGGCCTTGACGGTCACTGATGCCTACTAGTCCACCTGAAATGTTGTAAATACATATAAATAAACTTTTTGCTGTTTACAATTTACACTTGCCAGTTTTATGCAGAGAATGCCAACTACAGTGTCCTTCTTGTGTAACAACTTCAGGTAGCCTAATGAAACTTTTTAAAATAAACTATGTTTATATTCTTGCTATTTATATGTTTTTATCTATTCATTATTGATTTGCATGTATATTACTTATTAAATAGCTGCCTCAGTATTGCTTGGAAGTACAATGAACTGTTTAAGCTTCTGAGAAGTGCATTATTTTAAACTGTAAAAGACAATCAAATTATGTCAGTGCATGTATTTCTTAAAGTTTTGTTCAATAAATAGCTTAATACATTCAATATGCTTGTGATACTTTTCTAATATAAAAGGAAAATAATAAAACTGATGACTTGTTGGTTTTTATCTAAACTTAAGGGGTGTATGAAATGAGAAGCTTTTCAGTGCTTCATTTTACAGATCTCAAATTTTCTACTGAGTTCCAAAAAAAAAAAATCCTCCTGCAGTTCAGCACACCTCCTCATAGTTTTTAGTGGACAGCAATTAATTGTAATTAATGAGTTGGAAGTGTACCAACTGTACCTCGTCTGATTTCCCTTTACATGGCCCCAAATCATACAGTTTGTTCCACCAACCTTTTTTTGGAAATGATGATGCCATAAGTAAGTGTTACTGATAAATAAAATAAACACAGTGAATATCAAAACATCATCAGAATGTCCTAATTAACAATAAGGTCTGTTGTTACTGTGAATGTATTTAATATAAAAGTGCCTATGATAGCGATGGTGCTACTTAATTTTTATTTTAAAATGATAAAAGCTTTAAAGGAATTTGATGTATTTATTTCATAATGAGAAAACAAGTACAATATAGAAAGGTTGCTTCTTCAAATAAAAAAAGACAAGTAACATTAATGAGTATTAAAAGTTTTAACAGTAATTTTGGTTTTCAACTCACATTTTTTTTGTTTGCAGAATATTTAGCTTAGTAAGACCAAACTGTGATGATATATATGAATGAATCCGTGTACTTGTTGATCTACTGCATCTTTCCACTTGCTCTGATATTACAGATCCGTTCCACAGCCTCACCACCCGAATGGAGACAACAGAAGAGAAAAAGAGACACAGCTGGTATTGTCATTACTCAAAGTTGTATCAATCTTCCTGCTAACATGGCGTGTATTTTAAATGAGTATGGGTGTTGCTGCCAAAAGTAAAACCAAAAATATATAATAAAAATAAATAATCTGCCATAGCTTTTGCTTTGTTTCTGTACACATACAGTCAGATGCACAGTGACAAGACAAGGTGGTGCTTTGAGCTACATGCTAGCTCATGCTAGCTAGCATTGTCATAACGCACATGTTACATGTGCGTTATGACAATACCAATGTGGTGATGTTTAGAGGTTGTAATGTTTATCATACTCGCCATCTTACTTCACATGCTGATCAGCACCGAACACAAAGTATCGCTGAGGATGATGGGAGTGTTAGTAGTTCTGTAGGTATTTGGTCATAAACCAAACACTGGACAAATTAAAGTTTTGACTGGATGACAGTGTTAAAGAAACTTCAAGGGAGAACCATGATTATGACAATTCATCCTGATGAATGTGAATGTGCGTAGTAAATAGCATCATAATCTAAAAAGCTGACATATTTCACTCAAAATCTGAGTGTGATGCTAGAGGAAAGGTCATCAGAGTCATTAGGACACACTGTTTGAGAACCATGAATGTCTGTAGTCAGTGGACTGGTTCACCATAGATATTTGTACAACATTTCATGGCAATGTGTCTAAAAGCTTTCGCACTGTTGCAGTCCAGACCAAGAGGCGGACAATGCCGTTCATGACACCATGCCCCTGGAATGATTAATATTGTTCAATCAGCAAAATATTTTGCTGGGTCACTGTTTTACCTCTATCTTAAGACCACACTTGCTCAATTTTCTAAAAATGTAGTAGCATGTATAAGAAGAAGAAATCCCTAACAAGTACAACCCTGACAAATGTAAAAGGAGAGCCCAGATAAATACACAGAGAGCCAAACTGGCTAATGAGTCTGTTGCCAGCGTGACGGCCAGTCCTTCTCTATCCAGCTCTGCAACAGTCGTAGCACATCAATGCGCTGGTAGATACGGCAAAGTTCAGTGAGCTCAGTGACTGTTTTCTGGTTGTAGCGCAGCAGGAACTCCTGGGTGGGGCTGTGAGCCAACGAGCCCTGGGTCCGGTGCTCCAGCAGGGTCAGTTCATCATAGCTCATTCCCCAGCGACTTGCAAAGTTCTTCCAGTTTTTGATGGTGCAGTGGTTTGGATCGAGTTTGAGCCGCAGTAAATCCAGGAGATCTTTGTCATTCATGAGGTCGCTGATCTTGGGAGGAGGCGCCAGGCAGAAGCACTTTTCACAAGAGCTGTTTATTAACTGCAGTTCTTTTGGGTAGTCTGAGTTCAGAGAGAAAGATGGGAGTTAGCTTTATAAATGTGTTTATCATGAAACATAGTATATCAACATCAAATGTGAATGGGAAAAAATATGAGTCTAATTCATCCCCTAATTTGCAGCATTAGGTTACTTAGAGTATTTGCCTCCTGGTGGCTACCAATATGGTCAGAATTATAGCCATAACGGTAGCCTAGTGGTCTCAGGGACATACCGAGTCCCCCCTCGCCCCATGTGTCCTGTCTGTCTCTACTTCACAGTGCTGACAAATCAGTAACACTATGTTCATATTATTACACAGTTTATTCCGCTTTTCTTTTCCACTGTGTATTTCTCTGTGCCCTCTCTGTTTAGACGAGGGTAGGGCTGCTTCACGTACATGCGTGCACACAGACACACACACAGAGCTGAGCAGAGAACGTGTGATGTGCTTGTAATATTTATAGTTCAGTGTAAAGACACTGACGGCTCGGCAAGCGCCCACCCCCTGCCCCCTCATGTTCCTGAAACTTGATTTTAGTACTACCTCCTGAGGGGTGCTGAAAGCATGCACCTCCAAAACGAGAGCAGTACAAAACAAACACAAAACCTGGGACGAGTGTTTACATGTTTCAATAGGTTCCTATAATGGAAAAAATCCAACAGAGCCAGACAACCATTCACACTCCAGACTATCCCCCAGGCTGTCACCCTGATGAACACTTAATCAACGACAGTATGACTGGACAATAACCCTCAATAACCCTATATACCTGTGTATATATACCTCGCACAGATTATACAGATTTGTACAGATCTCTAGTTTTAAGTTCTCTATAAGAAATCACAATGAGTATTCCTTGTCGGTCTGCATTGTTTACTGCCTGTTTATACTGCTTATTTTGCATTGTTTGCACTGTTTGTTGCTTGTTAATACAGTTTATTTTGTTATATTACACAGCCTTATGTTGGTTTACTGTTGACTTGGCCCTTGCATGGGGATATGTACATACACATTGAGAGCTGATGTAGCAGAGTCAAATTCCTTGTGTGTCCGACACACCTGGCCAATAAAACTGATTCTGATTCACACTTGTCTAACGGAAATTTAGAGTCACCAATTAACCTAACACAGCATTCGACAGTGGCAGGAAGCTGAAGGAAAATCCACGCAGGCACTGGGAGATCATATAAGCTGCAAACAGAAGGGCACCGGTCAGCCGCCGTGCCAAGCACTGCACCACCATGCTGCCTAAGGTTAAACATTCATTATTGTTTTCCAAATGAAATGTCCTTAATAAGGTTCATGATGTTGTGAATCGTTTTCAAAATATTTTAGGTGAGCAGTGCAAAAGTGATGCAGGTTTAGTAATGATTTGCTATAAGAACTGATTTACCTGGAGAAGCAGATATTGGGCAGGTGCATTCTTCAACATCTTCAACTGGCTGCAACACAGAAAAACACCAGTGACTACTGTTAGTGACATCATGTCTATCGAACCCAATAACATGCAGGCCAGAACTATGAAACCAGTCTTCTCTCATTTTTCATGCTTTACAATAAAAAAAAGTGGTAAACGATATATTATTCTAAATCACAGTACAAATACATATCATGATATGGTGAATTTCCTGGAAACTGGTGATTCAGTGAAAGAAATACCTGTCAGGAGCAAGATCCTTCAGCCATGCTAATGACAGCGTTCTAATGTGCACACAGTGACAATGCTGCCATACTATTCAGCAGGTTTGTTTGCATTTGCTAATTAGTAATAAACACTAGAAGATGATGCCGATGACACTAGATTAAAAGTGTGTGTGTGGGGTCCATTAAAAGGTATTACAGTGAATTCTGTGAAAGACATGAGTGACATGTCATGACAACCCATCGAATAGTTTGGAGACATTTCACTCAATAGTGCTAGAAGAAAAGTCAGGAGACCATCTAATAGTTATTAATATACAGTGGATTCAGAAAATATTCAGAGCCCTTTACTTTTTGCACATTTTATCGTGTTGTGGATCAATTCTGAACAGATACAGTTGCCATTTCTACCCATCATTATACACCTAATCACCCCCGATGACAAAGTGAAACCATGGTCAGAGAGCTGTCTGACAATTAATCAAGAATCAAAAAGTGAAATATGTCTGCACACCTCAATTTATTTTATTTTGATTTTTGGTTTATAGAACGCTGGCAGTTTATTTAAAGTAGGCCACATCTACCATAATCTGGCAAACTAAATATAGGTCAAGGGCATCTACCATATTATTTATTGTACAAATGTTTTGAGCTGAGCTCTTTCTTCCTCTGTGCTTCATTTTAGACACACGACCACATGTGTGCTGCGGTGTCAATTAAATGTTCAACAACATTTAACTACCTGGCTTGTGCAAGACAGAGAGAGAGAGGGAAACCAGAGGGATTATGTGGTTGAGTGAGAACATGCGGACAAAATTAAACTAAATGAAACTGCATTTTGTGTGGTGCTTATGTATAAATCTAATTTTCACTGTATAACACTTGTGGAATAGAGTCTCTGTAAAAGATGATATTACTGACCTGTCTTATTCTGTCTGAGGGACTCAGGTATCCAGAGGGCATGGAGCTCAGGTGGAGTGTCACAGCGTCTGCTGGAGACATATTACTGACCTCGGTGTATTCTAAAAAAAAAACATTTCACGTATTCATTTATCACTGACAGTTCAACAATATCTGTACTGTAAAGTCTTAAGACTACAGCACATTCAAACCCACAACTTTCTTGCTGTGAGGCAACAGTGCTAACTACTGCACCACCGTGCTGCCTTGTTTTTTCAATTCACTTCAGCTTTGCCGGTTTATAGAGCACCATCATGCTACAGTATGGTCAATAAAACTCTGCAACCTTCTACAAAAATGTTTCACATTAAAAGCCTTCCAAAGGCTAAAGAGTTATAATTCCCCCTGTTCCTGACAGGAAATAGTCATATGTCCATATATGTGTTGTAAAATAGTCCTTTATTTACCATGAGGATCTGTCACTTGCACTGGATAATTGGCCTCCAGGGACTGTGGGAAAGACAAAGGCAGACATGGCAATATTAAAAAGTAGCATTAAATAAAAGTCAAAAAGAGACAGGTTTTCTGCTCTGTTAACTGCTTTTGTTGGAGTTTTATATTTAGTCTGTTCATAAGACTGAGACAACACTCAAAATATAGCCTGTGGAAGAAAATTACTCTCTTGTGCACAAAGACGGGGAACAGCCTGCTACAACTTGTTCCTCACTGAGCTCTCAGGCTCCAACAATCACAGTGCAGTGTATTCAGTTCTGGTACATTTCTTAGCTGATTACTGAAAGACTGCTTTCTCAGGAAGAGCAATGAGAAATCTGCACAAATCAAACTGGAGAGAATACATGTCAAGACAATGACACAATTGTGAACATGGCAGGAAAAACTAAATACAAAAAAATAAAGGTGCTCACAAATTCTGCCACAAAGCTGGTGGTGTCTGTGTCCTCCACGGGTTCAGAGCTGATTCTGTCTGTTACAAAAAAGGACAAGGTTTCAGTATTGTGCACATTTGCTGTGACCAACTACTCATTTCACCCGCTTCACAAAAATATCCACCACAGAGAGGAACAGAAAAACCGCATCTTCCAGACAGTGCGCATTTTCTTCTATGTGATGACATTTTTTTCAAATGTAGGTGGTAAAGCGAGGTGGTAATGACATCACAGACATTAAATAAAAGGTCTCGACATGTCACAAAATAAACCAGACCAGCTTGTTACAGTGCACAAAGGTTCCGCAGAAACAGTGAAAATAGTGTTCAGCACCTCCATGGCAAACACTTAAATGAAATGCCCTCAGCAAGGAAAAGGAATATCCCTGTAACAAGTACATTCATGGATGAGTTGGGAGAGCAGCACAAAGGCGGCTTTTCAGCTCCAGAAAATACCTGTACAGGGCTATGTGGGCCTTCAGCGGTCTACATTACTGTAAAGCCATTGTACCCAAAGGGCTCTAAAAAGAGAACTTCTCTGAACCTTTCTTGGGTTACACTTTATGAAGACCAAACTTGCATTTGCATGGGAAACCAGAATTAGGATTAAGTGATCAGGTGTTAGCAGGCTGTTACTTGCATAGAGCTTTCAAGGTGTTCGTTCACCTGGGAGAGAGCAGTCATGTATGCAGGTCACAGTGACTGTAACCAGCCTGTGCGTCAGCTTTAACCTTACAAAACACTCACGTCAGCCTCATTATAGACACTACATAGTGTGAATACTAGCGCAGTAATCACAATATCATACACAATATGACTGTTGCATACAATTCTACTATTTTCCCCTTCTTATTCTTCTTTATTTATATCAGGCATTTTATTTCCATTCCTGAATATTACAGTTAAAAAATGTGTTAAAATAATATATATCTTTGATAGAGTAAGGTAAAATACTGTGAATGTATTTTCTGGACAATAAGTTGTACATTTTCAGATGGTCCTGTGACTTACAGTGTAGCCCAGTGCTCCGGTACGGCCACAAGATGGCACTGTTTACACTCGTGATTCAACTGAACATAATCCTGCACTACTGAAAAAGAAAAAGTTTACATTTACACTAAACTGAGAGATGACTCTTAACAAGAATACAAGCAATATCCACAAATACAAAACTGCAATACTTCAGCATTTAAAGTGCAGATTAAGTATGCAGCCAAAAACGCCAACTGAGCAGCAGAAAGTTTAGAGTGACTGAGAAACGTCAATGACTGGTGCAAAGCAGAGGCAACTCTTACTGCCCCGGTTGGAAGACACAGTAAAAACACATACGGCTAACTGTGCTTTGACAGCTTTATGGAGTGAACAGCAAGTTGTTGCCTGAGGCCTATTGGCAGGGCAGTTGTGTCTCCATGACTTAAACACCAAAGCGGCTTTTATTTGTTTTTTTCCTTTCACAACATTTTTTTTTTCCAAGTGAGACTAATATTCCAGAAAGTACAGTACTGCTCAGGTGAATCCAACATGCTGATTAAAACACTGCTCCATAGTCCCACTAGTGGCCACAATCTCCACATGGTATCTTTAAAAGATTAAGTCTGGTAATCTTGACTATTTATCATCAGAAGTCTGCAACCAACTCAGAACCTTCACCAACAATGGCTGCATCCTGCTTACTAGCATCGTCTTATATACTGTATCTTGAACTTCTGTGGCATGGAGCTCCCTTGTTGTCCACAAAGTCTTAAAGAGTATTGAGCCACACTGTTTCATTGGGTAACATATTCCCTCATTACCATTAACACACACACACAGACACACACGTGTTTTCATTCCTTGTGGGGACTTCACATTGACTTACATTCATTTCCTGTAGACTTATCCTAACCTTAACCATAACCCTCACCCTTATACCTGACCCTAACCTTAAACCATGTTGCCACCCTAAAAGTCAGTGATTTCCTTGTGGGGACCAGAGGCTGGTCCCCACAAGGACCACATGTGAGTGTGTTAACAGTCCCCATAATGTAAGTAATACCAAGAGCACACACCAACACACTGTAGTTTGCTTTGCCTCAGCCCCACATGCACAGGCCTGTCAGAAACACTCACTAGAGCACCAAATGTGGATTATCCTTAAACTGAAAATAGTCCCCAATAAATGTACTATTAACAAACCATAACATTCTCTCTTATTATATTCGTATATATTTTTATTATATCTCTGCATTTGCTGCTTAAAGTGCCTTAAATTTTGTGTTACTTATTTATCTACTTTATATTTCATTTGTATTTTGTGGCATTCATGTGTATGGCAAAGTAAGAATTTCATTGTACAGGGAAACACGAAACTGTGCATATGACAAATAAACACTTTGAACCTGACTTTGACTTTGAATGTGTTCTGGGAGATTATTTCTCAAAGACCATAGGAGGATCTTTGTTTCAGTCAAGGATTGGAGATGTACTTTGACAAATAGGAAAATATTCCACTTGATTGCGCACACTGGAAAGTGTTTTGATGCAGCAAAACTTAAAAACACTGCAGGTTTTCCTACACATGTTGCATTTCTCACTTACATTTGTTGCTCAAGTGTAACCGGTTAGGAAAATGTTCTAAATACAGTAAGCAAGTGAAGATGATCATTACTTAATAATTATGGACAAAGACACTAAACTTTCTATTCTACTATACCTGTTCACACACACACGCGCGCACACACACACACGCAAAACATAGACTCCTCTCTAAAAGCTTGCACATTAAAGCCTGAGTATAAAGACCTTAACAGTATACATGAAAAAATAACAAAATAAGGTAAATATATATAAAAACTGTAAAAGGTTGACAAAGTATCAGATTAGTCAAACATTTCAAACAAAACCTTTCTACAGTCTTGAGATTATTTTTAGTTTTCACCATAAGCCTTACACCGATCAGACACAACATTATGACCACTGGCAGGTGAAGTGAATAACACTGACTATCTTGCAGTGGAACCTGTCAGTATATTAGGCAGAAAGTGAACATTCAGTCCTTCAGTCCTTCAACATTCAGTTGATGTGTTTAACCCAATGTGTCTAACTCGTCTTTAACCCTCACATTTTAAAAAAATCCATTATCATACCCATACCATACACCCACTCTGAATGACTTCAGGCCAGTGGCACTCACATCAGTTGCCGTCAAGTGCTTAGAGAAACTGGTCCTCACACACGTTAACCACATGGTGCTGGACACTCTAGACCCCCTCCAGTTTGCCTACCGCCCCAACAGATCAGTGGACGATGCGACGGCTCTGGCTTTATTCCATACCCTGAAACACCTGGACAACAGCAGTACGTATGCTAGGATGCTCTTTCTGGATTACAGTTGTGCATTAAACACCATTTGTCGCTCACCGCAGGGCTGCTGTCTCAGCCCCAAACTCTTCACCCTGTACACCCACGACTGTGTCTCCAGCCATGACAACACCATCATCATTAAATATGCTGATGACACCACCATTCTGGGCACCATCATGGGAGGAGACCAGTCGGGTTACAGAAGCCTGGTGAACAACATTCTTGTTTATGGAGAGGAGAATGGCCTCATCCTCAACATAAACAAGACAAAAGAAATAATGCTAAACTTCAGGAAGAACCCCTGCCCTCCCCCCCCCCCCCCTCCTGCCTCTGACTGTCAAAGGGACTGAGGTGGAGAGGGCTGACAGCCACAAGTTCCTGGGCCTGCAGGTGACATCTGACTTGAGCTGGTCACTGAACACAGCTGCCACAGTGAAGAAAGCCCAGCAGCAGCTACACTTCATCAGGCGGCTCAGAAAAGCTGGGCTGAACCGTCACCCTCTCACCCAGACTTATAGAGGACTGATAGAGAGCATCCTCACTACTGGCATCACAGTCTGGTATGGTAACACCACACAGGCAGAGAGGAAGGCTCTTCATAGGGTCATAAAGACTGCAGAGAGGATCACTGAGACTGAACTGCCTGCTATGGACACACTATACACACAGCGCTGTCATAAAAGGGCAGAGAACATAATCAGAGACCCACTCCACCCAGGTCACACTCTGCTCAGATACAAAAACTGTTCGCACAACCTCAGGCACAGCAGAGCGAACAGTATCATCACACACAGAACAAGATTTTACAACAGCTTTTTCCCTTCCGCAGTAAAACTGATGGTAAATACAAAATGTGATAAACCTGTGCAATAACCCCTCATTACCCTACTAAGTAGAATACCATGTACAGTTCCACTAGGTGCAATATTTGAAACTCCCCATTTTATCTGCTATCTTATTCCAGTATCCACAAAACTATTTTGTATTCTTGGGTGATCTTATATTTAGACTAGGTGTTCGTTCTTTTAGATTTAAACTCTTTACTTGACTCCAGGAGCGCCACGCACAATTCCTATATGCCTAGGCTGTCTGTTTATGCATAAATGGCAAATAAAACTCTTGGATCTTGCTGGAAGCGGGAAAAATGGGAAAGTGTAAGGATGTGAGTGACTTTGACAAGGGCCAAACTGTGACAGTGAGATGACTGGGTCAGAGCATCTCCCACACTGCAGGTCTTGGTGGGTGATCTTGGTCTGCAGTGGTTAGTACCTACCAACAGTGTCTAAGGAAGGACAAATGGTGAACTGGTGACAGGGTCATGGACACAGCTCACTGATGATGAGGTCGACCTACTGTAGATTTTAACTTCCATTTGTACCTTTCAAAAGATTAAAATGTAAGTGAATCTTTGTTAAAATGGTTGAAAATGAGAAACACTTTACACTGGTCTCTATGAAGAGAAAGACTCAGGGGCTGTAGTGGTGATATCTGTTGAAGCTGTTGAATTCTAAAAAACATTCTCTCCAACTTGTCCTCACGACCACTTTTCACTCCTTTTACATAAGTTTTTCACTGAATTGTAGACACATCTGTGCTCTTCCTGACAGCAGAACTGTGGAAGCAAATGGATTCACAGAAGATGCAGAGTGAGCTGCAGTGACACGAGTGCCAACCAACTGCCTCACTGACTCCGATGT